TTCCTTCCTTCCTTCCTTCCTTCCTTCCTTCCTTCCTTCCTTCCTTCCTTCCTTCCTTCCTTCCTTTCTTTCTTTCTTTCCACAATTAGGAGAAGAGTGTGCCCGTGTTCTCCAGAGCAGTCAGATAGGTGACCCACACTAAGGCCTCCGGTGGGGACACCATGCTTTTTGTTCTGTGGGTAGAGCAACATCTGCAGGTGAGATTCTGCCCCCACCCTACATTATGTCAATTATTATTATTTTTTGACTTATGACACAGTTCCTCAGGGACTCTCAAGCACCCAGGTCTTCTCCCCTCCAAGTCCTCCTGATCCGAACCTGCTCACTTCTGCACCGTCTTCACTCCTTCCCCTAGCACTGATACACCAGAAGAACCACCCGAGCCTGGAAAATGCCTCAGGCTCTCAGGCTTCTGGGACTTGGCCTGGGTCCCTCCCTCTGGTGGGAATGCAGCACTTCCCCATCCTCCTGAGAATGTCCACTTGTCACTTCCTTCAGGGCTCTGTCCATGATAACCCCTGACTCCCACCTGCGAACATAGCCCTGTCCTTCCTCTGGATCCTAGAGCCGGGCAAATACATTCATTTTATTAATGATCAGTTGTGCTTCAAGGGTCCGTTCTCACGCCACCTTCTACTATAAGAAAAGTATGTGCTCCGCGAGGTCAGGCATTCTGGCCACCTGTTGAACAGTGGTCTCTAACATGCAGCACTGGATCGTGCAAGAGGCAGATGCCCTGCCCCTATTTGATGGGTGGACAGCAAAATACTGGGTGAAGACAGAGAGGAACAAAAATGGCAGATTCAAAATATCAACTAAGGGGAAGGGAAAGTCTGGATGCCTTTTGATCAATCCCAGTGTTATGGTTTAAGTAGGAAGTATCTCCCAAAAGTTCAGGTGTGAGGCAATGCAAGAAAGTTGAGAGGTGAAATGATTGGGTTATGAGAGCCCTAACTAATCAAAAAGTCAGTCTGCTGTAGGGATTAACTGGGTGGTCACCTGGGCCGGTAGGGTGTGGTTGGGGGAGGTAGGTCACCGGGTGCATGCCTTTGGGACATATATTTTGACTTGGTGAGCAGAACTCTCTGCCCCCATTTCTGGATTGCCATATCCTGAGCTGCTTCCTCTCTAGACCCTTCCCCATGCCCTTCTGCCTCTGTGCTCTGCCTCATCTTGGGCACAGAGGAATGGAGTGGGCCATCTATGGACTGAGACCCCAGAAACTGTGAGCTCCATATAAAGTTTTCCTCCGCCAATTGTTCTTTTCAGGTCTTTTGGTTACCATAGTGAACAGCTGACTAAAACACCCAGAATATTAACTATGGGGGAGGACAGTCTGGGGGAGCGTTTTAGTCAGCCCCAAATTCACAGTGGTGACGAGAAGGTCCTTCTGTAAAGGCTGGGCCTGGGATTGGTTAACAGTGTCCTGGGATCAGTTAAGGGCTCAGAGAGCAGGACACAGCTTGGCTTTGGCATTGTGGCTCTTCCCTCTGCAGAAGTACTAGGGGTAACATCTAAGATGGGTTTAATTTTTTTCCTCAAAAAAAACAAAAGAAATTTAATCTGAAAACCAGCATCCTAAAGGCA